ATGACTAATGTAAACAAACGGTTTGTTTACATTTTGAACTGCTGTATTTTTTAAAATATAATGTACTGTCTGAATATCTAACACTATTTTGGTTCGCTATGCTTCTAAATGAATATGAGTTTAAGTTCAGAAAAATTCGAAACATTCGAAATTTGGGCAATGTTTACATGAGAGGGTCCTCACATTGTTATGAGCAGAACCGATGCGCAGAACGGACTTGACTTCCACTTTAACCTTTTGTATATATCCTTGAGAAATAAAAATAAGAAATAAATTATGAACAACAAAGATGAAAGTTTTAGTTATGTTTGATAATTTTATCATGTTATATAGGAATAGCAATTTTAATGTATTATGTATAGGTTTATTTTAAAGATGCGGTTCAGTCCGATCTGCGCATGTGCACAAAGGAGCCCTCTTTTTATTTACCAACAGTTTATTTAGGTTTTTATTTCATTTTACAGTATGTTCTTGCAAAGCTTGATTGTTGTGTCTTGATAATTTATTATACTCTAGAATCATGAAAATATAAATAGTTGTGGAATAAAATCAATATTAACAAAGCCTTTGTTTACATACCGACTGTACCGCATCTTTAATTAAAAGCTACGTTCCAAAGTCGAACGTTAAATTAATATTTACGTATACATGTAAGATTTAATATTTCTTAAACATTTCTGTTGACGTTTTAATACAAATTAAGAAAGCAGATTATCACGCTTTATATTTAGACAGACTACACAATCAGCGACAAAAAGAACAACGACAACATGAGAATATGAATAGAAGATGTGTTTAAAACCGGCGTTTCTCTTCGTATAGAACCGCTATGAACAGATTCGTTCGGTTGAGAAAGCGATACTGGCTTAGCTAGACGGAAAGACTGTGTATATACATAACCCGGCAGTCTCTTGTTTGTTTGTGTTTGTTTGTTTGTTTGTTTGTTTGTTTGTTTGTTTGTTTGTTTGTTTGTGTTTGTGTGTGTGTGTGTGTGTGTGTGTGTGTGTGTGTTTGTGTTTGTGTACGTTGTCTGTCGAATGGTAATAGTCTGTGTAATACAGGGTGTATAAAAAAAACTGAACAGATATGAAATTGCTCTCAATTTCGCAAAACAGCTATTAGTATCCAGTTTTTGATAGATATGGCTTCTTTGGGTACTTATATAATGTAGAATAATGAAAAAAATTTCTCGAACACAAATTTTGTAAACCAGGGGTGTGTGTCTTTTCCGACAAACTAAAAATGACTTGCGCACAAGATTTAAAAGCTATAATCGTAGTTTGAGTTAATGGATGAAAAATGTGTTGCGTGTTTAATTGCTGCACGAAATTTCAGACAATTTGCTTCAGTTTAAGCCTTTCAACTATTCACGCAAACTTACATTTTTCCTAAAAAATCAGCAATTTGCATGCTTAAATTAATGCATTTGCCCAATTTGCATATGTCAGCAAAATATGCAAATTAGGTAAAGGTATTAATTAAAGGTGATCTACAGTCCGATCTGCGCATGTGCACAAATGAGCCCACTTTTTATGATACAAACAGTTCAACTATGTTTTGAGTACTTGAAAAACCTGATTGTTGTTTCGTGATCATTTATTATACTCTAGAAGCTTGAAAATATAAATAGTTGTCGAATAAAGCTCAATATTTTGGACACAAAAATGTAAACAAAGGCTTTGTTTACATACGGACTGTAGATCACCTTTAAGCATGCGAAAGGCTGATTTTTTAGGAAAAAATGGATAGTTATTAAAGGGCTTGAACTAAAGCAAATTGTCTGAAATTTGTACAGTAATTAAAAACCCAACAAATTTTCCATCCATTAACTCAAAATACGATTAAAGCTTTTTTAAAAATTTCGTGCGCAAGCCATTTTTAGTTTGTTGGAAAAGACACACTCCCCTCGTTCACAAAATTTGAGTTCGAGAAATTTTTTTCAGTATTCTACCTTATAAGTACCCAAAGAAGCTATATACATAAAAAAACTAGATACTACACGGCAAAAAACGCCGAGCCCGTTGCTCAACAGGACTGAACAATGTTTTGCTGCCCACGTTGTTCACACTTGTCAACAATATTGAACAATGTTGTTGAGCCTGAATCGGGTGTAACAGTATTGTTCAATATTGTTGACAGCTATGAACAATGTGGGCAGCAAAACATTGTTCAATCCTGTTTTCATCAGTATTGCATCAACCTGAGCGTTTTTACGCGTGTAATGGCTGTTTTGCAAAATTGAGAGCGATTTCAAATCTGTTCAGTTTTTTTTTATACACCCTGTATAGTATAGCTAAGTGCATTCCGCAATTGCAGTCATTCTGCCTTTTACTTTCACCTGTTATAGAAGACGTTTCCACTTTATTAAGTTTATATCATGGTTAATACAAGACACGACTTTCATACAGTTAACTGACCCCATACATTCCTTGACAAGTTTTATTTGCTCATGTGTACCGCAAAAAATTGACAATTTTTCCTTGTACATGAGCCTTGTTTCAAAGCTACACGCGTAAAAACGCACAAGTTTGTTACAAGTCTGTTCACAAGCTGTTAACAAGATGTATTCGCACTGCTTGTCACAAGTTGTCAACAGGTTTGGAACAACTTGTTGTCGAAATTATCAGACTTGTTGCAAGGTTGTTCTGACAAGTCTGTGACATGCTTGATGTAACAAGATTGTTACAACCTTGTGTTGACGACCTTGTAACATCCTTGTTATATCATGGCTGTAACAAACTTGTTAGCACAATCTTGTAACAAGGCTGATAATGCCATCAAGCTTGTTACAAGTTGTTAACACAGCTTGTTTCAAACTTGTTACAACAAACTGGGAACAAGCAGTGCGAACACAACTTGTCGACAGCTTGTGAACAGATTTGTAACAACTTGTTTGCAGACTTGTTACAACTTGTGCGTTTTTACGCGTGTAGCCATGGCAGCTTTTGGACAAAGAAGATTTGTTCGTGTGTGCACGGCCGCCAAGGAAAACTTGACAAGTGTGCAAGAAATACTTGTATGGTTTTGGCAAACAAAGGCGGCTTTGACGTGAGATAAATGTTGACAGCATTCCGTGCACGCGAGAACAACCAAACTTGTCAAGAAAAACTACATACGTAAAAATTTCACAACTTGTCAACAAAATGTGTTCACAACAGGCTTGTAGCAAGCTTGTCAACAAGTTGTAACAATGCTGTTATTTCATCAAGTTGCTACAAGGTTGTCACTCACAACTTGTTGACAAATTGTTGAATTGCAGGACGATAACAAGTTGTTGGAACAACTTGTAACAAGTCTGTTGAACTCAACAACCTTGTAGCAAGTTGTCAACAAGTCGTTGACAACTTGTCAACAAGCTGGGAACAAGCAGTGCGAACACATCCTGTTGACAAGTTGTTGGAACAGCATTGCTACAAGTCTGCTGCAGGTTTGTTACAACTTGTGCGTTTTTACGTGCGTATATTAAAACTACACACGTGAAAATCTCCCAACTTGTCAACAAGATGTGTTCGCAACAGGCTTGTAGCAAGCTTGTCAACAAGTTGTAACAATGCTGTTATTTTATCAAGTTGCTACAAGGTTGTCACTCACAACTTGTTGACAAATTGTTGAATAGCAGGACGATAACAA